AGCAAGTTGTGGGGTGTGCCTCTCAGGATTTTTATATACTGAAGTCAATTCTCTATGCTGAAAGCACACTACTTCTGTAAGATGACACCATATTTCATTGATACTGAGGCCATTTTTTATAAGCTGTATCAAGTACTGCAAAGAAAGAAAAAATACTGCCAATTAAACCAACACAATAGTTTGTTTTCATATCAAGTGTAAGATGCATCCTGATTTCAGCTGTTAAAATCCGAAAAGAAAATGTATCTTAACTATTGCATTTTGTCAGTTCTAACATTTATTCTTTGCTATGTGTATGTATTACCTTATCCACCTATAAAGTAGCTATTATTGTCCCATTTTTACACAGTGATGAAACTGAGGCCCAGAAAAATTAGGTAACTTGTCCAAGGTCATGCAGCTGTTAAGTAGCAGAACTGGAATTCAAGCTCAAGCCGTCTGATTTCAGAGTCCATGATCAGTTTCAACTACTAGATTGTGCTGGAATTTTAAAAAGAGTTTTACTTGTCAGCTAGAACCATCTCAGCCTATACAGTATTCTCTATTCTGGAAAGAGGCTGCTTCTGCAGGCATATTATTGCTGCTGCAGTGAACATTGCTGAGACCACATAGGTCCTTATTCTGGCTGTTACAGGTCACGGGTCTCCATCAGTTTATAGTGTCTACGTTTCAGAAGCTCAGTCTAATGGAAGAGAATAAGTCTTCAATAGTCACGTAGTGTGTGGTTGTGCTCTGTTGCTGAACTGAATATCAAGGAGGCTGGGGGAGCTGTCCGAGAAGTCTTAGGGAGCATCGGAGAAGGGGAGTGACATTTAAGTCGAGTCTTAAAGGATAACCAAGAATTTGCCAGGCAGACAGATTCACCTAGCACCTTATTATGGCTTTAAACAGACTAATGTCAGTGCCTGCTGCCTCGAGAGGTAGTTTCACTAGCTTTGGAGCCTTAGGTGAGCTAGCCTCCCTGAGTCTCAGTTTCATCCTCTGCAAAATGAGAGGTTATCGTTTATTGAACAACATTGTTGTAAAGATTGAGTGAATGCCTGCAGAACGGTCAACGTGACCTGTAGTAAGCACCCAGTAAATGTTAACTATAAATAGAGGCTGGGCGAGTAGGTTACTGCCCATTTTGAAAAGCTAAATGTTAGGCAAAGAATTTGGTCTTCATTCTAAAGGTTAGGGAGCTGTTAAAGGCCTTGAGCATGAAAGTGACTTGAACACACCTGTGTTTGCAGTTGAGCCCAAGGTAGGTAAGAAAGGAAAGCAGAAGGGCAGAGTTTGGTAAAGTGGCACCATTTCTTTGCCAGAGAGTGAAGGGATGTTGTCCCCTCACCTTGCCTTCCTTCTGCTCTCCTCTTACCAGAAGCCTTTTGGTTCTTAACCTTTTTCAGAAAGAATAATCCTGTCTCCTCTCAGACGTTTGGGCTATTTGAGGGTGGGATGTTAGGCCTTTGCCACATGTTATGGGAGGCTTCCCACATCCTGTCCCTTTAACCCACCCTGTGAATTGGAGACGAGAACTCCGTCCCCTCTGATAGAAACTTCACTCTTAAGGAATGTTGCTTCCTCACTCTAGGACCTGAATGCCTGAAGTCTCTGCCTCCATTTTAAGCTCTTAATTCTAGGCTAACTCCACTGGAATTATCATATGCAGCGACCCACTTAATTCTCACAGACAACCCTGTGAAGCGGGGATTAGGCTGGGAAACTGATGGAGTCCGGGCTAGGATGACCAAAGGGCCCAAGAGCTGGAGTTGAGACCCATGTCTCTGCTCTTACTTAACTGCCTCCTGGTCTCTTCTCTGTACCTACAGTGGCCACCAGAAGATCCGCTTACACTGAAAGTAGTTCCCAGCTTTGGTGTACAGGATGGATACCCCGTGCTGTGTTTCCAGATTCGTGAAATTAAACGAATTGAATATTTCTAAGCCTTCCCTTTCTCTCTCCACAACCTTCACGTATCTCTTGCTCTCTGGATTAATAGTCATTGCATGTTTAAAGCTAGCAAGCATCTGATGAATATTTAATAACCTGAGCAGACAGGCTGGATACAGCTGTCTGAGACAGCAGCTGTTGGGGGGAAGGGGAGGAAGTGCACTGCCCTGCCTAACTACTTGTTCTTTTGTTCCCTGGGCTAGCTCTTGTAGGCTCCTTAGGAACAAAGGCCTATCTATGGTGGGCACTGCACCCTAGTCCTGTTGTGACCTGATTGCTCCCTGAGCTTCCAAGGAGGCTGCGTTCAGGCAGCAGACCAAACCTTGTGGGGATTGGGGAGGTTGGGGGGGGTGGGGGTGGGTAGTGAACAGATAAGTTCACTGACCTCTAAAAGCAATTTTCTGACCCCTGGGCTGAAAGTCGTCTCCTCTGTAACCTGTGCTAGCACGAGGGCGGAGGCCATGTTCTCATCCAGTGTTCCACCAGCTGCAGCTCTCCATTCTAAGAGGAGGGAGACTGTCTCTGGAAGGGACTTGGATTTCATAACTATGCTGCTGAGGGTCAGCTCCTTGACATTCCTTGACTGCACATAGCAGCTTCTCAGCAGTGGGTATACTGCTGTGGTGAGTCTTTGGCTGCTGTCTCAGGCAGGAGATGGGCAGCTAGGAACTTCTCAGACAGGGACACAAGCTATCCCAGTGCTTCTCCCCACCTACCCCCAGGGAGCTTGTTGCTACAAGGAGGCTCGTCATTTCCAGGGCAAACTTGGGGAGGATATGGAGCCTCCTGAAAAAAGCCAGCTCATTTGAGACGTGTCCAGGCAGAGTCTGAGACACAGCCAGGCCATCAGCCCCGATCAGTCACCTAAGTAGAACACGTTGCTAAGAAATTGGGACATCCTCCTGTTCTCAATACTGCATTAAGAAGCCTGTATGAGCTGTTGTTCCCTTGTTAACCTCTGGAGCCCACTTAGCACCTCAGTCTCTTCTCTCCAGACACTGTGGTGTGAGAACTTGAGATAGAAGAGTTTGGGTTTCAGATACAACTAATTCCTCTCAGGCTTTTGGCTCCTGCAGCCTTCATGCTTCCCATGCATGGCCAAGCTTTAGGTACAGAATGGACGCTCTCCGTTTCTTAGGCTCTCTGGGGTTGGAGTTCAGAAAAAAAGCTCTGCATCTGCCTTTGAGAAAGAGAAATACCTTGTGCTCTGATAGGATTCTTCATAAGCTTCTTTCCAGAGGTCAGTATAAATGGCCGCCCCTTTCCTTCATTTTATTAAAGGCATTAGCTGGGGTGCCTGGGTGGCTCAGTTGGTTGAACCTCCGTCCAACTCTTGATAATCGATTCAGGTCATGATGTGGGGTCATGAGATCAAACCCTGTGTCGGGATCCTCTCTCTCCCTCTGCCCCTCTCCTGCCTTGTGTGCACTTGCTCTCACTCTCTCTCAAATAAAAATAAGTGCATTGGCTGATATATATTATTATTAGAACACCTACTATGTGCTAGACACTGGAGATTCAGTGGCAAGTAAATAGGATAAAATTGGTCCCTGCCTTCACGGAGCTTATATTTCTCAAATATAAGTCTGTCCTCAAGACAGACACTAAACAAATATTAGCCTCCTAAATAACATACATCATCTCAGTTTTAACAAGGGCTATGAAAGGAAAGAACAAGGTGCTGTAAGGACAGACAACAGGTGCACTAGCCTAGCTTGGGGGTTTTCTTTAAAGAAACGATGTTTAAGCTGACATCTAAAGGAAGGGTTAGCTAAGCAGACGGTTTGGGTTTGCGAGAATGGTTTGGGGAAAGGATACACAGCACATTCTACCCAGAGGGCAGGTTTGAGGCGAGGTAGGAACCTGGACCTTATTTTGAGGCCGTCACTGAAGACCACTGAATCCAGGAGTGAGGTGTGGGGAGCAACATGATTAAATTTAAACATCACTTGCTGGGGCGCCTGGGTGGCTCAGTCGGTTAAGCATCTGACTTTGGCTCAGGTCATGACCTCACGGTTCATGGGTTTGAGCCCCGTGTCGGGCTCTGTGCTGACAGCTCATAGCCTAGAGCCTGTTGTGGATTCTGTCTCTCCCTCTGTGCCCCTATTCTGCTCGCACTCTGTCTCTATCTCTCAAAAATAATAAATAAACATTTAAAAAAAAAAAAAAACTTGCTCCTAAGTGGAGAGTGGATTATGGATTTTGAGGACCTGTTAGGAAACCTGATTTTAGTCCAGACAAGAAATGAGGAAGACCTATAATAGGGTGATAACTGAAAACGTAGAGAAGTGAATGGATCCAAGGACTTTCCAGAGCTACAATAAACATAGTTTGGTGCCTGATCAGATGTGGGAGAAGAGGACGTGATTAAGGAGGGTTCCTACTTCGCTGGCTGGAACGACCAACAGAGCGGGGGGTGCTATTTTTTTAAAAGAACAGGAGCGCTGCTGACAGGCTTTGGCACGAGAGCAGGGCCCTGCCCTGTGGTCCAGGCTTAGGATGTGTCTCTCCTGCAGATAACTCTGGGTATTTGGGGCTGTGAGGCCAGAAGAGATGGACCCCTGAGCTTAGGACCGAGGTGCTAACAGTAGCTGTAAGAAGATGCCTGTTTTCCTCATTCTCTTTCCTCCAAAGTCTTTAAAGAAAGCTCTTTATCATTTTCACATCTCTGGGAAAGCAAAACCCATTTCCCCTCTGTATAGCTGGAGGCCCCAAAGCTTGTATAGCTAAAGGCCTAGTGGTTTCAAAGCTTGTATAGCTAAAGGCCCTAGTGGTTTAGTTGATTCTGCCCTGAATCACTGAGCTCAGGCACAGCCAAGGAGGGGAGGTACATGAAGTGAGGCTCCATTTTCATTGCCTGACTAACAGCAAAAAGACAGTTCTTATAAGCTGTGGGCTCCTACTGCCTACCCATCTGTGCACCTAGAAACCTGTACTGAATGAAGTAACTAGAGTTGCGCTGTGGGATGAGGAGATTGTAAGGGAGGCAGCCTGGCCGAATGGGAGGCCAAGAAGCCCCCTGATAGGGTAGCTTCATGTCTCTTAATTTTCTACTTGTGTCTTTGCAGCGATCAGAGGACTCCGGAAACCAAGAGAGCTGCCTGCTGTGTCAAGGCTGGCCTGAGGGCATTTGCTGAGCACAGAGAAACCCAGGAGAGATCACCAGTCTTTTCCCACTCCACCTCTTGATCTGTCTGATTTGCCCACAGAAAGCCAGCCAGGATCCCCTAAGAGAGTCTGTAGGCCCAGAATGGAGTCCTCAGGGCTGCAGGGAACTGTGATGCTAACAAACCTGCTTAGGACTTTAAAGAGCTGAAGGGCACTAACAGTATCCCAAGCACAGCTTCCTAGATCTGAATAAACTGGTCACTCCCACTGTGTCCGTTCCCAGATTGCCTGCTTCCCCCTTAGCCTCCAGCAAAACTGGATGGAACCACCTCCTGTTTCCCGCCATACCACACCTGCGCTATGGGTGCCAGCCTGGGAGCCCTCTGGAGGTGCCCAAGGCTGGTTGTCACCTCTGTTACAGTCTGAGGAAAGCCAAGTGAGAAGGTTCATTTACTTTGAGCAAGTTATGTAACTTCTGAGCCTGTTTTTCTCTTCATTGCTGATTACTAACCTTGTCCAAAAGGCTTTTAAAAGGCAGGGCTTTTCCTACTTCGCTTCTGTACTGTCTAGCCCTTCCCCGACACGTCTCTGGCACCGAGGAGCTCAATAAAGTTTGGTCAAGCGAAGAATGGTCCCACTCTGGTAGCTTCTGTCCGCTCTGGGAGAGAGCCAAGGCACCTTGTCTAGCTCCCGCTCTTCCTCCAGCTATATTGAGCTCGCTCTTTGGCCTAACACTTGCTCTTGAAGGATTGGAAAGTCAGCCTTTGATAGCCTTCTAGTTTCCAGTGGCCTGTGTCTAGGCTGATTTTATCCTGAGCTACCTCAGAAGTCAGGGACCTCTAATACTACATTGTTCCTTTAATAAAATAACTCTTACGGTCATTTATCCTAACAAAGGAACTAGGAAGAGGGCTGGGTTTGGAAAGAGAGACTGTCTGCATTTTAATTGCCTAGGACATTCTAATGAGCTTGGATTTGTTCTTAGCAGGAAACAGACATTGAAATCAGTTGACTGACTTTGGGCAACTTATTAAACCTCTGAGCCCAGTTTTCTATTCATTATTGATTACTATAAATAAGAGCTAATAACTTATTAAGTGCTTAGACTGTACCAGGCACCATGTCAAGTATTTATATGCACAATTTCACTTAATCCTCCGATCCATTGTACTCATTTTACAGATGAGGAAACAGAAGCTCACGGATAAATAACTCGTGTAAGGCTAAGAAAAAGAAGCTGTCAGACTCCATAGTCCCTGCTTTTCACCTGTTTGTACCTCTTAACCACCACAAGTACCTTGAAACAGTAAAGCATTGTGTGTGTGTGAGACATTTGTATAGGGCAACCAACCTTATCCAGGTTTACCTAAGACTGAGAAGGTTCCTGGGATATTAGAGTTTTGGTGCCCAAACAAGGAAAGTCCCAGGCAAACCAAGATGAGTTTGTCAACTTAGGTTTGCATTGAGACACCGTCCAGAGCTGGCCACTGAGGCTGCATTTTCCTTGGCTTCTGGGTCTCTTAGGCGTCACCTTGTGGCTAGAGTTCCTTTATCTAGCATTTGAGGACTTAGTTCAGCAGGCAGAGGAGGAGTTTGGGGCAGGGAGTTAGGGATTCACTTGGCATCTGAATGATAAATGGAGGCACAGAGCCTGGGTCACTATCTGAAAAGCCAGCACCAGGTTCCTAGGAAGCCATGCCCTCAACACCCACCCCCCACCCCCCACCCCCCCGCCCCCGACACAGGATGTCTACTTGGGAGCTGTGGAATTACAGTAAAGCTCACAAGAGCTAAAGCCAAATCCTACATTCAAATCCTAGCTCATCACTTGCAGTGTATTTTTCTGGGCCTGTTTACTCCTAAAAGGATAGTAATCCCTGTCCACTGAGTGGGCTCTGAGAAGCAAACGGAATGTGTGTGAAATACCTAACATGGGGGTCTATGCATAATACTGCTCAACACTTAAGTTTCCTTCCTCCTTTTTCCTGGCTTGTGATTCTTACCAGAGTCCTGTCACCTGTCACGTCTGTCACATACAGCCTCCTCCCATTACCACTTGCAGCCCTAGGGATCTTCCTTTGAGAGCCCTGACCTAGTGGCCTTGGCCCACCCACCCAGCTGCCCTTCATGTCAGTCACTTGCCCTGCAAGCAGAGAAGGGATGACATCAGCCTTCCTCCCTTCCCCCAGATGAAGCCTCTGAACTGTTTTGAGCCATAAATATTTTAGCTGGGCCTTTCTCTGGCTGTTGCCAGGGTGATGGGCTCTCAGGGGACTGGGGTGGGAGTGTGGAGGCAGGGCTGGCAGCCTGGGGCCTCGCAGTGGAGCTGGCCCCGGAGGGGCGGGTATGAAGTCTGGCCAAGAGCCAGTGCTTGCTACAGCAGTTCTGAAGGCTATGGCTCTGTCTGCCTGCCTTCCCTTTCCTGGGCCCCTCCAAGCTGCTCCTACTGCTTCCAGGCCCAGCTCTGCCCTTGAGAGCTACGTGATCTTGAGTAAATTGCTAAGTGTCTCTGGGCCTTCGTTTTAACATCCGTAACAGAAAAGTCCTTGCTTAACTCTCTGCAGGTTAAGTGGAGAAGACAAAGAAAAGGAGGTTTTATGAAAATCCTATGAAATATGAGGTTAGTTGTGATTGGAGAAGCTAGGCCTCTCTTGATAGACCTTAACAGCTGGAGTCCCAGAGCAGTGTGGATGCCACTCGGAAGACTGTTAGGGCAGGGGTGCCTGGGTGGCTTAGTCGGTTGAGCATCTGACTTCGGCTCAGGTCATGATCTCAGGTTCGTGAGTTCAAGCCCCGCGTCCAGCTCTGTGCTGACAGCTTGAAGCCTGGAGCCTGCTTCGGATTCTGTGTCTCCCTCTCTCCCTGCCCCTAACCCACTCGCATTCTGTCTCTGTCTCTCTCAAAAAGAAATAAACATTAAAGGCTGTCAGGGCACTGCCTCTCCTCCGCTTCCTCACACTGCAGCTCCAGCTCCTTTTCTAAGGTTCCCAGGTCTAGCTGGGCTACCTGGCCTGCACGAGGCGTTCTAAGAAGGAGTTGGGCCCAGTGACTTAGGAGGAAAGTTGGTGAAAGCCTTTTTTTGTTTGAGATATAGATGCTCAGACCCCCAGGTGAGATTAGGCCCTCATCCTCTACCCCCTGCTTACATCTGGCCAGCTGCTGAACTCTAGGTTGTGGATCGATCTTGTGATTGGTCTAAAGAAGAAAAGAGCCAGAGAGGGGGCACCTAGATCCATGGCCCATTCGTACCATTAAGCAGCTCTGGATAGGGTGCAGGATTCCACATGCCCTGCCCAACGGGCCCCACCACAATTTTCCTGTGGAGTCCGGGGCTCTGATTCCTTTGTGCCAAGCTCCCCCTGGTGGTTAACAGGTGCATTGCAGTGAAATAAGCTCTCAATAGGCTAAATTGCAGGCCACCTGAGAGGTGGAATAGTTTGCTTTATACCAAGGAGAAAAGAATCCTTGTGCCCCACTCGTAATGACAATCGTTCCATTCCTTATATAGGATGTCTCCCCTACATGTTTGTTTATGTCATTAATCATCACAACAATTCAATGATAGGAATCAGCCTAATTTTACAGAAGAAACAGGCTTAGAAAAATATAATCAAGTCCAAACTCTTCACTGTACGTAGTTTTCAAGAACCTAACCTATTTTTCCACCTCCATCTTCAGTTAGTCCCAAGCTGAAATGGACTTGCTCTTCTGGAACATAGCTTACCTCTGGGCCTTTGCTCGTGCTGTTCTCTGTATCACATTGCACGCCCCCCCCCCCCCCCCCCCCCCCCCCACCAAGTGCATTACCTACCAAAATCCTATTCATTTTTGAAAACCTAAACAAGAAATACAGTATTGTCGGGAGCCTGGTGGCTCAGCCCATTGAGCATCTGACTCTTAATTTCAGCTCAGGTCATGATCGCAGGGTCATGGGATCAAGTTCTGTATCAGGCTCTGTGCTGAGCATGGAGCTTGCTTGAGATTCTGTCTCTCTCTCTCTCTCTCCGCCCCTCTCCTCTTCCCTACTCATGCTCTCTCTCTAAAATAATTTTTAAAAGAAATGCAGTATTTTCTAAAGCTTGCATTTATTATCTTTGTAATACTATAAGACATGGGAAAGCAAATGTCTGGATGAGTACAGGTGCATGAGTAGCCCTGAGATGTGGAATGTTCGATGGAGAGACTAACATATACACGGAAGTAAGAGTGGCTCAGGAAATTAGAAGAACACGAAGACACATGGATTCTCTTTTGGAGCTTGTAATAAAAATCAGATGTAAGTATTCTTGCTGGCAGAAGAGAGAGCAAGTTCCTGGGAAACTGGGAGAGCTACAGGTGATATTTCTTCAAAGTCTTCAATCAAATTCACATTACTTTCCTTTGTACTTCATAATAGATCCGTGTTATAATAATAGTAACTAATACTTAAATAGCACTTACTGTGCACCACGCATTGTTCTAAGTACTTTACACAGACTAATCTTCATTATAATCTCAGAAGATAGGTACTAAGACTACCCTCATTTTTACACTGAAAAAACTGAGGCACAGAGAGGTTAAGTAACTTCCTAAGGTCATGCAGCTAAGAAGTGGTGGAGCCAGGATTTGATTCTAAACTACAGCAGAGAAGGTGCTCTGAATAACTACACTTTGATATTGAAAACACTGCCTCACATTTCCATGAATAAAACTGATACTCCAGAAAGCAGTATTGTGTTTTATCCTGTGGTTGCACACCCCCACTGGGTACCACTAGAGGTCTGCATAGTCCAGGTAGAAAACTACTGATCCAGAGGACAGAATCGCCAGCCATGGCCCCAAAATAATGTGACCAAGGAAGAGATCCCAACTCTAGAGACTCAATGACACAGGACTGGCCTAGAGCCAGTGACATTTCCTCAAGAACCGAGACTCCTGGAGGAGCCAATAGAGAACAAGTTATTAGGAAATGAAGATGCAAAGAAGGGAAGCAAGGGCTTCAGGGTCACAAAACAGCTGAGACACGTGGCCACAGATCTGGAAAACAAGAACCTAACCAACATCCTGCCATCTTATGATTCTTTCCCCCAGGGATCCTATAGGAGGCAGATGTGAAAAGACTAGGACCCTAGATGTTTCTGCTAGATGCTGGGATCGAAGTGTACGTTGTTCTGGATTATTTCAGTTGCAGTTGCCAGACCCCAAACACAAACTGGCTTTTTATAATAGAAAAGTCCATAAAGGATTCAGATATGGCTGGACCCAGGGGTTCAAATGATGCTATCAAGACATTGTCAACTGATTTTTTTACTTTTCTGTGTTTCCTTCATTGCCTGAGTTCTCCCTCCCTAAAAGGTGGCAACGTAGCCACCAGAAGCTCCAAGTTCATATCCTATTGCTTTGACATCCCTGGGGGGCAGGGGAAGGAAGTATTTCCCAGTTGTTCTAGCAAAAGTCCTAGGATAGCATCTCATTTGGCCTGAGTCACGAATCACCCCTGCTCCAAAATTGGTCACTGTAGCCTGGAGTGGCAGGATGGAATGCTTTGATTCACCAGGCAGGGTTATCTGCCCACACTGAACCTGCAGAGTAAGGCAGCCCCACCAGACCACATGGACTGAGAGAGTGGGAGAGAGGGTCGTTTCGCAAGGGAAAATCAAAGTGTTTTAAACAGAAGGAGAATGGATGTTGGGCAGGCAAAATCAACAGACAGCTGATACAAGGTGGGCAGGAGACATGGGTAATGGGTTGCATGCAGAGCAGCCCATTTGAATGGCCTTCCCCTCTTACACTGGGTTACTGGGTCGTACGAATGCCCTCAAATCAATTAAGCAAACATTTCCTGAGCATTTGCCATGTACAAGGTCCAGCGCCCTTCCACGTAATAGACGGATAGCAAGACCTGCCCCTGCCACCAGCCCCAGTAAGGCAATTACTGTTACGCTTCCTCCCATAGGAACATAACAGACAAACTCTTACTCGTCTCTCAGAAACCAGCTCTGATGTCATCTTTCAAGAAGCCTTCTCTTGACTACCTCCCCTCTCAGACTCAGTCACCTTCCCTCCACCTCTGAACTTGGTACATACTGCTATTGTTATCACACTGTGCCATAATTTATTGATTCTTCTGTCTTTCCCAAGGATGAGCGGCACTTCTGTATCCCTAGTGCCCACCGTATAATAGATGTTCAAAAACATTTTTTGACCTGAGTTAAAGTGAGTTCCCAGGCAATGGCTCAGCTTCAGTCTTTTACGGACCATTCCTGAAACCACTTAGCTTCCCTTCCCAACCAGCTTTCCTTTTAAGAACCAGTTTGCTACTACCTGAATTCAACTGAACTGATACCCATTTGAATGCCTATCAGGTGGGAGGTAGTTTAGGCTTTGGCAGTTCAGAAATTAACAAGATACATTTCAAACTCAGCACTCTAAAGAGATCAGAACCAACTCTACTATCAGAATTTCTTTGGCCGAAGAAAGAAATCTCACTGATTCCTACTCTACTTTGTGAGCTGGTCATTCTCCCTCTCTTGGCCTCTTTTCCCCCAGATGGGAAGGCCTGACTTGGTGTAAAATTTGTAATTTAATAGATATCTATGAGTTGAATTAAACCACGTTTCCATTTTGCCTAGACTAAAACCCTTGGAGCAATAGGGGGCGCCTGAGTGTCTCAGTCACCAACTTCTGCTCAGGTTATGATCTCCTGGTTCGTGTGCTGACAGCTCAGAGCTTGGAGCCTGCTTCGGATTCTCTGTCTCCCTCTCTCTCTCTGCCCCTCCCCCCCCATCTCGAAAATAAATAAACATTAAAATAAATCAGTAAAAATGTTGGAGTAATACTTGATCTTCTCTTTCTTCCACACACCTATCCAATCTGTCCACAAATCCTGCTCACTTTACCTTCAAATCCAGAATCCAACATGTCTCACTCCCTCACTCAATCTGGTACAATCCATCAACATCTCTTGCTAATATCATTGCCCTATCTCTATCTGTTCTCCCTGCTTCCACCCTTGTGCCCCTACAGTCTATTCTCACACAGCAGCCAGAGTGATTCTTTAAAAATGTAAGTTCAGGGGCGCCTGGGTGGCGCAGTCGGTTAAGCGTCCGACTTCATCCAGGTCACGATCTCGCGGTCCGTGAGTTCGAGCCCCACGTCGGGCTCTGGGCTGATGGCTCAGAGCCTGGAGCCTGTTTCCGATTCTGTGTCTCCCTCTCTCTCTGCCCCTCCCCCATTCATGCTCTGTCTCTCTCTGTCCCAAAACTGAATAAACGTTGGAAAAAAAAAAATTAAAAATGTAAGTTCAGAGTTGTCTGGGTGGCTCTGTTGGTTGAGTATCTGACTTCGGCTCGGGTCATGATCTCATGGTTCGTGGGTTCGAGCCCCATGTCGGGCTCTGTGCTGACAGCTCAGAGCCTGGAGCCTGCTTCAGATTCTGTGTCTCCCTCTCTCTCTGCCCCAACCCTGCTCATACTCTGTCTCTCTCAAGAATAAATAAACATTAAAAAAAATTTTTTTAATGTAAGTTCAGAGGAGCCTGGGTGGCTCAGTCAGTTAAGCATCCGACACTCAATTTCAGCTCAATTCATCCACGATCTCACCGTTCTTGAGATCGAGTCGTGTGTGGGGCTCTGTGCTGACAGCACGGAGCCTGCTTGGGATTCGCTCTCTTCCTCTCTCTGCTTCTCCCCTACACGTGCACACACGCACCCTCATGCTCTCTCTCAAAATAAACTTAAAAAACAAAATGTAAGTTCAAACCCTCCATCTTCCCCATCCCATTCAGAGTAAGTAGGAGCCCTATAGTGTCCATCCCTTCTCACATCCCACTCTCATGTCTATTTCAGCCAAGCCAAACTGACCTTGCCATTTCTTAAATTAAAAAAAAAAAAAATTAATTTATTTTTGAGACAGAGAGAGACAGAGTGTGAGCAGGGGAGGGGCAGAAAGGGAGACAGAATCCGAAGCAGGCTCCAGGCTCTGAGCTGTCAGCACAGAGCCCGATGCAGGGCTCAAACCCACAGACTGTGAGATCACGATCTGAACCGAAGCCAGATGCTCAACCAACTGAGCCACCCAGGTGCCCCTGACCTTGCCGTTTCTTAAACACATTAGCTGGGTTCATACCTGATTTTTTTTCCCTCTGCCCCGAATACCTGTTTTCTCTGGATATCTACATGACTAACTCACTCATTTCCTTCAAGTGTTTGGTCAAAAGTCACCTTCACAGTGAAGCCTACTCTGACTGTCCTGTTTAAAATTGCAACCTCCCATACCCCTCTCCTGTTTACCCCCACAATTTTTCCCTCCTGATATACTACCGAATTTACTAATTTTATGTCCATCTCCTCCCAGTTAACTGTAAGTATGAATATCAAATATCTACTAATTCATTCAATTAATTGAATATTGATGTCTATTACGTGCCAAGCACTGTGCTAAGCCATGGAGCTACCAGGTGATTAAGACAGTTTACAGGTCTTGTGAGGGAAGAAATCATAACACTTGGTAACAGTACCTCATTTACTGAGTGTTTCCTGTGTTAAGTGCTTGCCATGCATCCTAATAATAATGATGGCTAACATTTTTAAAAACAGACCCTGTTCTGCGAGCGTTATCTCATTCAATCCTCACCAAGACCTATAAGGTGAATATTACGAACCTCATTGTAAAGAGCAAGAAAAAAGATTTCAAGGCTCAGAATTGGCAGAAGCAGGATTTGAACTAAGGTGGTGGCAGGAGAAATATTTAGGATTTAGGGTCAGCAAAACTAAGTGAAGGGGGGGGGTCGAGGGAAACGACTCCCAGGTTTTCGCTAGGGTGGACCAGAGAACAATAAGGCCAAAGACAAATGAAAGCCCAATTTGGGACGCGTTGAATTTGAGCCGCCTGGGGGCCACTCAAGGATACACTCCCTCGCGCAGGAGCCGAGAGACGGTTCCGGTCCCCTCCCTCCGGCCTGAAGAGACGGTGGGAGAAGGCACGCAAGGGAAAAGCAGGAGGTGACTTCCCTCCCTCTGGGGTCTCCCGAGCAGCAGCTGCTGCAAGGGCGTAGGGGACCTAGAGACAAAGAGAGCGCGCAGACACCGCCTTTGTCCGCGCGGCCCCTTTAAGAAGCGCGTTCCCAGCTTCCAGCCCGCCTTGTATGCAAATTTGGCGGCCAGGCGGGAGCGCGCGACTGATACCGCGGGGACTAGGCTGCGGCGGTTAGTCCTCTCCCGGCCGCCGTCGCCTCCGACATATTGCCCGCAGGAGCTGCGGCGGCGGAGCGGAGAGCGCCGGGGGGAGGAGATGGGTGAGCGGAACGGGTCCGGCTCGGCCGGGGAACGGGCAGACGTGGGGGTCGGGATGGCCAAGCTGCTGATTGCTCCCCCACGCGGACAAGATCCCGGCGAGGGAAGGGGGAGGGGATGCGGGGCACAGAGGGGCCCCGCCCCCTCCTGTCGCTTTGCAGGGTGGGGCCTCGGTTATGGAGGCGGGGCATTGGCGCGGTAGGCGGGGCTTCTAAAAGGGAGAGGGCCCATGGGGCTTGAGCTTTGGTGAAGACCCGCTCACCTGGGTTAGAAGCGGGGACGGGGCGTAGCGGTAGGCGGGGCCTTACTGCTGGGGCGGAGCTCCTGGCTTCTAGGCGTTTGTTCGGGGGCGAACTTTCTGGGTTTTCGGGCTTTGCACGAGGGGCGGCGGGGCGAGAAGACCTTCCGGACCTAGGGAGCCCATTCTGGAGCCGCGCTTCTGGGCAAAGAGAGCTTTTATTGGCTTGTGGGAGCGTATTCTGGGCTGACAACTGTGTGTAGGCGGGGCTTCTGGGCCTAGGGGCTTTACGTGGGTGTAGAGCTTCTAAAGAGAGGAGAGTGGGTGTGGGCAGAGCTTTTGGACTGAAGGTGCATATGTGGGATGTTTTAAGCCAGGTGTGATAGTGTATGAACAGAGCTTCTGGGTTGGAGGCTGACTGGGGGCAGAGCTGGACAAGTACTTTTTGGAGACACGTGTGAGAAAACCTTCCGAGCTGGGAAGCTAGGCGAGTGCAGGCTCTGTTGCCATGAGGTGGTTTGAACAGGGCTGTAATTTTGATTAGGACTGGGGTGGTGCTTAGGACCTTTGTGCAGGGCTTTTGTGCAGGATGGTGCCTGGGAGTTTGGGCTACACTGACAAGCTTAGAGAAATAGGGTTTGGGTCCACAACCACAGCATTCTCCCAGAACCCACATCCTTGACCCTGTGCTCAGGTCCTGGTCCTGACCATGAAACCCCAGGATGCCTACTGAGCTGGATCTTGGGCTCTTGAGAAGAAGACCTCAAGGGTGCCCAGAATCATAAGCCTGGAGAGGCTTATAGTATCTGAACAGGACAGCGTACGCCAGAGCTAAGAGCTCAAGCCTCAGACCCACAAATTACCCGTGACACAGTGTAAACTCAGTTTCCTAATCTGTGGGAAACCTATTTTGCTGGGTTCAGCCACTCATCAAGACAGACTTACAGAGCACATAACTTTATGCTGGGCTCTGTGGTAGGGGGAGGGGATACACAGTGAAAAAGACAGCTAAGGTTAATGACCTCAATGACTTTCTGCTCTAGTGAGAAAGACAATACATGTGTTAACAAGTGAATACGGTAAATTCTAAGACTGAATTGTGAAAAAAGTAGAAATAAGAGGGTTATGGGGGCAGATGCTTAAAAAATGGCAGTCAGGGGAGGGCTCTCCAGACATGATACAGCAATATAAGAGGTAGCAACAAGTTTGGTTTGCTTAAGGAGAGAAAGGACAGGATGGCCGAAGCTTGGAGGCCAGGCAGGGAATGGGAGATGAGGTTGAAGCATTAGGCAGGGGCCAGATCAGAGGTCTCTGTGATTAAATGATAAAACGAGACACCAGGTAACTGGTAGCCAGTATCATTGCTGTTATCCTTGATATATGCCCTCCGGCTTGAGGATCTATTTTATGTTGAGTCCCACAGGAGGACGAAGAGGTCCCAACAGGACATCCTACTGTCGAAATCCACTGTGTGAGCCAGGATCGTCAGGGGGCTCTGGTGGGGGCCATACTTCCAGTGCATCAGTCACCAGTGTCCGCTCCCGCACCAGGTAAACCACCTCTGTGTCTTGCCCCTCACTGTGGGCTCACAGGGGCAGTATGAACAAAGCTCTCTCTCACTGGGCTCTAGGATGTGATACCCCAGATCCCAGACGGGGGCTTAGAGTGCAGTGAGCAGCAAAAGACCCAGAGTGGTGGTCACTTGGGCAGATGCAGAGGGACATAGTATAGTAAGCCCAGTTACAGGATTCCACTTACAATTCTGCTCCTGATTTTCTGGTGGCTTCAACAAGTTGTCTCCGTTCATTGGGCCTCCTTTTCCTCATCTGTAAAATGGATCTAATAATTCTTTTCTTCCTGGGGAATGTTGGAAAGCCTGAATAAGATTAGGGATAGGAAAAGTCTCTGTCGGCTCCTTTGTCTGACAGGCAGGATTAGGACTCCGTGTTTGCCTTGTGCTGCTTTTCTGACCCAACCTCACCATCCTTCGCCCCAGAAGCCCTTCTTGGTGGGGTTCTCAGGACAGCTCCTGATGTTTTTTCCCTCCCCACCTCCCAGGAGCAGTTCTGGGACGGGCCTCTCCAGCCCCCCTCTGGCCACCCAGACGGTCGTGCCCCTACAGCACTGCAAGATCCCCGAGCTGCCAGTCCAGGCCAGCATTCTGTTTGAGTTGCAGCTCTTCTTCTGCCAGCTCATAGCCCTCTTCGTCCACTACATCAACATCTACAAGACAGTGTGGTGGTATCCGCCTTCCCACCCGCCATCCCACACCTCCCTGGTAGGTGCCCAGCTAGGACCAGCTGTGTGTGTGTGTGTGTGTGTGTGTGTGTGTGTGTGTGTGTGTGTGTGTGTGACGTTTGGCTTCAGTTTAACACAGCTTACCGAGTGAGTGCCCTGTACATTTGGCCTCATGCCGGGCATAGAACATGTAGAAGGAACAGAAAATGAATGATTCCTGAACACTCACCCGAATTGCTCAGTACTGCATTAGGCGGTTCAAAGGTAGTGGAGATAAATCGGATAGATTTTGCCTAAAGGAAGGCAGAATCTCAAGTCCTGTGGGGGAGAAGAGCCACAGGCATACCTGAGTATTTTAAGGAGTGGAAAGATCTCCGTGTAGAAAGAGAGGTTCAGGGACCGGAGCATGGGTGATCAGAGCAACAGGGCTCACACACCACTCTCTTATCTCCAGGGACTGTCCCACTTCCCTCCTCTGGGTCCTGTTCTACTCCTCTAGGTAATTTCCTGGCCTGACTCAGCTAGAGACTTGTGAAGGTCGGAGAGTGGGGATAGTCCCTGTGGAAAGGACCGGGCAGGGGGAGGTGGGTTTGAAAAAAGCCCGTATATGGGCAGGGGGCCCACGTGACCCCCAGCCTCTGCCCCCTGACAGAATTTCCACCTGATCGACTTCAACTTGCTGATGGTGACCACCATCGTTCTGGGCCGCCGCTTCATTGGGTCCATCGTGAAGGAGGTGATTGGGTCCTAGAGGATGACCGGGGACTTGGGGACTCGCCTTTCCCCTGGGGGGACCAAGGAAACACGCCTAGCCCTTCAAGCCCAAGGCATTTTCCTTGGGGCTCCCTTTGAACTTGGTTGAAGAACATTACTCACATCCCCTTCCTCTTGGAGTTTCCTGGGCGCCAAGGAAAAGCATTCACCTTGCCAGGTTCTGTCCGGCCTGCTGCCCCATGGTTCCCTGGGTGGGATCACAGGTCACGCTGGGTGGGATTTGGGCACAGTCCCCGTGGCCTATCCAAGGCCCCATCCTGTCCTATCTCGCCCTGACCCAGGCTTCTCAGAGGGGGAAGGTCTCCCTCTTTCGCTCCATCCTGCTGTTCCTCACCCGCTTCACCGTTCTCACGGCAACAGGCTGGAGTCTGTGCCGCTCCCTCATCCACCTCTTCAGGACCTACTCCTTCCTGAACCTCCTGTTCCTCTGCTATCCGTGAGTACCCCTCGCTGCCTAGCACCTGGCTCCTGACCTCTGCCCTGAGTGTGGCTGGGTCAGCAGGCCCCCATACCTGGAAGACTCATGGCAGGGCAGCAGCAATAGCCTCTCACGTTGTCTGAGAACATCCCCCTGAGACTAAGGTGATTAGGTTTTTGCAGGAGCAGAAACTGAGACAGCAGGCCTAACTTACCCAAGGTGCCACCAAGGGGGAGGTCAGAATGGGACTCAGATCTGAGTGTATATGCCAAAGGAACAGTTCCTGATAGGGGTGCATGGGCTTTGTCTCCCTCTCTCTTTCTTCTCTCTCTGGTTCTTTCTCTGTCTTTTTTTGTATGTTAATGTTTATGTAATCTCTCGGTGCCTCCCCCAGGTCCGTGTGCATGCGAGCACCTGCGTGTGTGCATGTCTCTCTGTGTGGGTGTCTATGCATGAAGTGTGTGTGCTTATCTACACGTCTATGCGTGTATGTCAGTCTTTGTGTTTGTTTTGCTCACTCACTCCATCTCACCAGAGCCCAGATTATTGAGGACGGAAAGACAGTGTCTGGAAAGAGCCCAGGACTTCCCCCTTCTGACCTAGAACCGGGGAGAGCTTTGGCAAGATGTCCACACTGGCTGTTCTTGGGGCAGGCTCCTGGCTGCCTGGGCATTTACAATCATTTCCCAACCCCTGGGCTTTCTGGTTCATGAACTTCCTCAGGCTGGGCCATTTCTGTGTCCCGGGAAGCTTCAGAGCTGGATACTCCTCCCTCTGCACCTTGCATGACCAAAAGGGCACTGTCATGGGAGGAGCCCCATCACACTTGTTTCAGTTATAACTAGTGTTTAATTATAAGAGTGACACATGTGTCATATAAAAACATTAAACTTTACAGAAGCTTTTAATGTAGAAAATGAAAGTCCTATATAACACCAGTCCTCCAGAAAACCATTATTTGCAGCATATCCTTCCAAATTTTTCTGTCCGAGCATACACACGTATACTTTTTTTTTTTCAACAAAAAAGGAATTAAACTATGCATGATATTGTACAATTTACTGCATTTTTTTGCATCATCGTATAACTCGGGTATTTTTCCATGGCGATGCATACAGGTTTGCCTCATTTTTTAAAATAGCCTATAGTATTCCATTGTGTAGATTTTTCACAGTTGTATTTGTCTTCTATTGGTGCCCTTTTGAGGTGTTCCTAGCTTTCCCTATTGGAGACCGTGAGGTAGGGAACATTCTTTTGCATACATCTTTGCCCACTTGTCCAATATTTCTGTCAACAGGTTCCCAGAAGTAGAATGACTGTACTGAAAGGTGCAGTACATTTTTGATAGATGATAACAAATGGTTAGAGCCGTCAATAGTCGCCTAAATTTTCTCACTTTCTGGTTGCTATCCAGTGAATCCATTCTCTTTGGGTACAGGTATCTTTTAGTATTCATACTTTGCCTTTTTTTTTATTATTATTATTTAATGTTTAAATTTTTATTAACATAAGACATACATAGCCTAACAAATCAGTCCAGTAATGCTAAAAAGCTTATGATGAACAACAGCCTCCAACCCCACTTTTTCGCTTTTTATTTATTTATTTTTTAAGTGTATTCATTTCGAGAGAATGAGCACGAGCCGAAGAGGGGCAGAGAAAGTGGGAGAGAGAGAATCCCAAGCAGGCTGTGCACTGTCAGCACGGAGCCCGATGTGGGGCTTGAACTCCTGTACCATGAGATCATGAGTTGAGCTGAAATCAAGAGTCAGACACATTTAACTGACTGAGCCCCCCAGGCGCCCTACTTACTAGCTTTTTAGTCCCACTTCTCCAAAGCGATCTCTCTCACTGTTTCTGACTTTCAGTGTTTTTTGAGTTACCTCCATAATTCTAGTATCTTTGTGCCTTTATTCCTTTCAAAAATTTATCATTGATTTTATAGCTGGATAATAGGTTTACATAGTTAAAATTCAAAATGTATAAATATGTGTAAAAATGTATAAAGAATATAGAATGAAGAAGTCTCTCTTTGGCTCCTGTCTCTTAGCTACCCAGTTTCCCTTCCAAGAGGTAACCACCACCATTTCTGGTTTCTTGTATATCCTGGAAATAAATGTTTTATGCATATACAAGCACATCATACTCACAAATACATACATTGATTCCCTTCAATGACAGGTGAAGATTTACTTAATTCACCCTTCCATCCATACTATTCCCAGTATTTGATAACTTATTATTTTTATTTTTCTATTGATTATCTTTTCCAATAATATCACTATGCCTGTATTTTTTATGTCATCAACAATAGTATCTTAATCCCTTTAATGTAGACAATAACGTTAGGAACTCTACCCTTCCACTTTTCCTCCCTCTTCCTCCTCTCACTTCTGGCAGCTATACTCTTATGTTGTTAGGCTTGACATTCACATTCCCCTATATAACCACATTTAAGTCTTCCATTCTTTGTTTAGGGTTAATTCTAAAAGCTAAAAAGCAGTAAGTAGCCTTGATGTTATTATGAATATGAAAATACCATTCACTTCAGGACCAAGTAGTGTGCATAGATAACGTTCCTTCTCTGTGGTTACTGAGTTATAATCTTGGACCTCTTAAAAAAAGAAAGTTCTTCATGTCAAAGTCAAATGGTTTCTCTTTTCTTACATTCCATCAATTGCTTAAAATCATGCCACATTTTAGTTTGCTTCGTATTTAGATTGTAACTTTCTAATACAGGCTCTTTTTTTTTCCTTGGAGTTCTAATTGCCTTTCTTTTTTCTTGTTGACAAAAGAGTGATGGGCCTTCAACATATCCTCAAGTTTATCCAGCCTCTCAATCATGCTACCTGTTGCCTGGAGTCCATTTTTCCCCCTAAAGACATCCTTCCTGGAGCCTTCCATCCTCCTGCTCCAGTCTGGAGTGGTTGCTCTTTAGGCCTGCTGTACAGCTCTCAGCCTGGGACTTCCCTTCGCTGCCCTCCTGGGTTGGATCCACTGTTTCCTGGATCCCATGTCTTCTTTCTTGGTTTTCTCCCTTATTTTGCTGGAGTGCGTTATCAGGTAATTTCCTTAGCAATGGGTGTGGGAGGTATATACATTTAGAGGCCTTGCATGTCTAAAAATGTCTTGGGGCGCCTGGGTGGCGCAGTCGGTTAAGCGTCCGACTTCAGCCAGGTCACGATCTCGCGGTCCGTGAGTTCGAGCCCCGCGTCGGGCTCTGGGCTGATGGCTCAGAGCCTGGAGCCTGTTTCCGATTCTGTGTCTCCCTCTCTCTCTGCCCCTCCCCCGTTCATGCTCTGTCTCTCTCTGTCCCCAAAATAAATAAACGTTGAAAAAAAAAAAAAATTTAAAAATGTCTTTATTCTGCCTTCATACTTGATTGATGGTTCAACTAAATGTAGATTTCTAAGTTCAAATGCATATTCTCCCAGAAGTCTGAAGATACTATTCCATTGTCTCTAGCATCCAGTGAGAAGTCTGAGGCCAGTTTGATTCCAGTTCCTTTGTAGATGACTTGCTTTTTCCTTTCTAAAAGCTTTTAGAGGTAGCCTGTTTGTCTTTTGATTAGTTGAAATTTTATAAGGAGGTGTCTGGTGTGGGACTTGCGTCAGTCATCGTATCCGTACTCTAGGACTTTTTAACCTGGAGATTTGGCTATTTCTTCAGATCAGGGAAATTTTCTCCTATTATTTCTTTGATAATATCTTCCCTTCCATTTTTTCTATTCTCTCTAGGACTTCTGTTCTTAAGGTGGTAGACCTCATAGAGTGATCATCTGTTTCTCTTATATTTTCCCTCATATTTTTCATCGCTCTCCCTTTCTCCACCCCCCCATCCCCGTCTTTCTTCCTCTCTGTCTCTCTCCCCCCTTCTTTCTCCTCTCTCTCTTTTTTTACTTTCCCTTTAGGGAGATTTTCTCAACTTTATCTTCCAGCTTTTTTATTGAGTTTTTCAGCAGTCAAATTTTTTATCTCTCAGACCTCTTTCTTGTTTTCTGATTGTCCTTTTCTCATAGCATTCTGTTCTTGTTTTAAAAATCTCTCATGTTCCCTCAATTTTGTCTTTCCACTGGGGTCGATCTTTCGTTTCCTGCTGCTAGGTTTCTAAGCATCGTTAGTTTCTTCAGTTGTCTCTTTACACTTACAAATGAAGGACTGAGTAGGTTGGAGCACACTTCCTCTCCCTCTGCCATTGTATATATGAGTGGGAGCTTTGGCCAGGGATTCTAACTATAAAAGCAGGACACACAGACTGGCAGACTTTGCTTTAGGATAAGTGAGTTGTGCGCCCCCATAGGCCAGAAACCAGGGTGAGGGGGTTACCCTAGGATGCCCCCATTAGAGATCTCCGTTCTCCCCAGGGTAGTTTATTCACATTCTTTACAGAAGAATCCTTCAGGGTAGATTGTGTGAGGTGAATAAGAGAATAAATGGACTGACTCTTATAAATAAATACAGATCTTTGTTTAATCCCATTTGTTCAGTCCTGCTGCTCACTTCTACCCTTTATCAGATGTGTCTGCTTCAAGCCAGAGTCTCTTTTGGGTCACTGGGCAGATAAGCTCCTACCCCCAGTACAGCCCTCGCAGCATATTCTAGACCTACGCCATCCAGTTGAGCAGCTTCCAGCTACCTGTTATTATTGAACATTTGAGAGAAGTTAATTTGAATTGAAGTGTGTTGTTGTAAGTGTGAAGTACGCATCAGATTCTGAAGGCTTAGTGCAAAAAAAGAAAGTAAAAATCTCATTGGTAAATAATGATGCCATGTTGAAATGATAATATTTGGCATATATTGGGTTAAGTAGAGCATTAACATTAATTTCATTTTTTTTTCAAAGTGGCTACCAGAAAATTTCAAATTACATACGTAATTCTCATTATATTTCTGTTGGACAGCGTGGCTCTATTGATGGCTTCCTTCCTCCTCTGTCAACATGTTTCCCTCTGCTTTCTAAATTTGTCAAAATCGCTTGTGAACCAATAACCCCACTCCCATTCTTTTTGCTGATATGAATTTATTACCTACTTTTATACGGTCACGTCTTGAGTGGAGGGGGTGAGAGGGAATCTGCCATCTTGCAGTGAAGCTGCTTCTAACTTGTGACCCGTGGAGCAGTCACTTGCTGTTGCCAAATAACGTAATTGTATCTGCAGTCCTCCTTAGAGGCAAAACCAGGGAGATTCTTGAGTACTTGCCCTTAAATTTGAGTCTGAATCCCTTGTATCACCCTGATCCTATCGGTGCTCCACTCCTTCGTTCCCACAGGGTATCCTGAAGAATATTTTGGGAGTCCCATTACAGTCTTCTTTTCTGTCCCACAGAATCCCTGGTCTCTCTTTTCTAAGCAAAATGTTATGGATCTTCTACTTTGGGTCAAACACCATGCTGGGTGTTGTTACAAGGTTTGAAAGAGGGTATTTATGAAAACACTAGGTGTAATACCTGAGTGTAGAGAATCAGTACAAGCTATGTAATTTAAAGCAAATTAAGGAAACTGAGGCTCATAGAGATGAAATAACTTGCCCTAAATCAGAGTGCTAGTCAATAGCAGAGCTGGGATTTTAATCCTGGTCTGTTTGACCCTAACGGTTATGCTGCTGACCACAGTTCTCAAAGTAATCTTACTTAACCTTATACCAGGGAGAATGGTAGCATCCCCATTTAAAAAATTTTTTTTTTAACGTTTATTTATTTTTGAGACAGAGACAAAGCATGAACAGGGGAGGGTCAGAGAGAGGGAGACACAGAATCTGAAACAGGCTCCAGGCTCTGAGCAGTCAGCACAGAGCCCAACGCGGGGCTCGAACTCATGAACTGTGAGATCATGACCTGAGCCGAAGTCGGCCGCCCAACTGACTGAGCCACCCAGGCGCCCCTAGCATCCCCATTTTATAGACCAGAAAGCAAAAACCCGGAAAGGCCAACTGCTTACCCAAGGATACTCATGTATTCCTTCTTGGAACATCAGGAAAAAGGAAGAAAAACGCTACTCTGGGGAAGAAAATGTAACATTCTCATTGGCCCTAACTCGTAGGGGCAGCCCAGGGACCTTTCTGGGGCTGTGTCTGAGGACCTGGGGAAATTGACAAGCCCCAAGCTGAAAAAAGGAATGCCTCGAAATAGCACCTACTACACTGTTCCATGGACACGTGCTAGGCTAACTTAGCTACTTTTCTCCCCCTACATATTTATTTATACTTAAAGTAATCTCTGTGCCCAATGTGGTACTTGAACTCACAACCCCAAGATCAGGAGTTGCATGCTTTACCAACTGAGCCAGCCAGGCACCCTGGCACTTGGCTACTTTCTATAATTATCTACTCTCCTGGCCTTTAGGTCTATCTACTTCTCTCCTCAAAAGATACCAGCCATACACTCAAAATACCCCACACTGAGTAGCACCAACCCTAAGGGTACTACTCAGGGAAAGGGATTTGTACTGTTCAAGGGCCCATTTCAGTGCTTGGCACATAATAGGCACACGGTAAATAGTGTCCCTGAACTGCTTTCCTCCACAAGCTGAAGAGCTGCCTTTAATGTATGCAGCCGTAACAACTTAGACCTCTTGTGGTACCGCGTCCGTGTTTTGTTTTGTTTTGTTTTGTTTTGTTTTGTTTTGTTTTGTTTTGTTTTGTTTTGTTTAAGCTCTGTGCTGAGTGCAGGCCTCGAACTCACATCCCTGAGATCAAGCGCTGCATGCTCCACCGACTGAGCCAGCCAGGCACCCCTTGTACCTTTTTTTTTTAACTAATGAATTACTCTTAGTATTTGTTGATTATGCGTCTCGGTCTTTGGTACCAGACAGTTCTGGGTTTGAATCCCAGCTCTATTGCTTCCTTATCATTGGGTAAATTTTGGGAATCCGCTTCACTTCTCTGAGCCACAGCTTTCTCAAAAGGGTACAGAATAACCGTACCTAATGCATAGTGTTCTTAGGAGACACAAAAGCAGAGAACGTGTGTGAGGCACTTAGTACAGTGTCTAGAGCATGGAGTGTGCCTAAGGAATGTGGGCTGTTAGGATCACTGTTGGTCAGCAATAGACTGTGAGGCAGGGCCTTGTCTCCTGCTTCCTACTTTGTTCCCGACGCTCGGCACAATGCTTGGCCTGCACTCGATGCCAATACGTGTGTTGAATGTCTTACCGGAGGATGGCTGTATAGAAGGATGGGTAAATTCTCTCCTCTGAGCAGCCGGGAGAGCTAAGGCCCAGGGAGGAAAGAAGATTCCCTCCGTGGGTAAAGATTGGGATCGTGGCCCATGGGCAGGCCTACCCTCACCACTGTCTTCCCCAGCAGGTTTGGGATGTACATTCCGTTCCTGCAGCTGAACTGTGACCTGCGCAAGACAAACCTCTTCAGCCACATGGCCTCTGTGGGTCCCCGGGAGGCGGTCAGTGGCCTGGCACGGAGCCGGGACTACCTGCTGACGCTGCGGGAGACGTGGAAGCAGCACACGCGGCAGCTGTACGGCCCAGATGCCATGCCCACCCACGCCTGCTGCCTGTCCCCCAGCCTCATCCGCAGCGAGGTAGAATTCCTCAAGATGGACTTCAACTGGCGCATGAAGGAAGTGCTGGTCAGCTCCATGCTGAGTGCCTATTACGTGGCCTTTGTGCCTGTCTGGTTTGTGAAGGTACGTAGCTCAGCCCGTGGGGTGGGGGTGGGAGGGGAGCTGCCCCGCAGGAGCCCTCCCCCTTGCATAAATAACTGGACCGTTTTTGACAAGATTCCCATCTGTTCTCTTGAGGGCTAGAGTGACCGCTACCTCGATTTTAGAGTAGAGAGCACAAGGCTCCCTGAAAGGGAGTGGCCTGCGCAAGGTCACCCAGCCAATGATTGGGACATGATATTGCTGTTCATGATACTTGATTGATAACAAAAAGCAGTGATGTTGTATTTCACTGTGGCTGTTTTGGCACAGGCATGTCACAATGTCCAGCTTCATCAGTAAGTAGGAAAGCCAGGATTCATCCAGACCTGAATGACTCCAAAAGCCTGTGCCTTCTCTCTTGCTCGTCTGGCCTTCTGGGAAGGTACCTCCCCAGCTGACAGTAGGCTGGAAACATTTCTCCAGGGGTAGACTGCGCTGAATGATTTGAGGCTGAGAGGACATAATATTTCTTGAACACCTACAATGTGCTAGAGCTTTCAGGAGTGTGATAATCCCCCTAACGCCTCTCATAGGTGGTTGGTAGCTATTCTTATCCTCATTTAACAGATGAGGCAGCTAGAGCACAGAGAAGTGAAATGGTTTGCCCAGCATCACATAGTTAATAAAGCAGCAGAGTCAAGATTTGAACTGATGTCTGTTGGACCCCGGAGTCTATGCTCTGGCTCAGAGTCGTAGGCAGCGGGAGCAGTTTTTATGTAAGAGGAGCTTGTGGAGAACTGAGTAGTGGGCACAGGGTCTAAGCCCATGAATAAGCCTTCTTCGTTAGGTATTTGATCCTTGGTCTCAGGCCCCCACTGAGGGCTGTCCTGGTTTCCGAGGCAGACAGAATCAGGGAAGGGGGAGGGAGGGAGGCCATTGTGGACATCCCAGGCCTTAACCCACCACCCCCTGCCCCCAGAACACGCATTATTATGACAAGCGCTGGTCCTGTGAGCTCTTCCTCCTGGTGTCCATCAGCACCTCAGTCATCCTTATGCAGCACCTGCTGCCTGCCAGCTACTGTGACCTACTGCACAAGGCCGCTGCCCACCTGGGCTGCTGGCAGAAGGTGGACCCAGCGCTGTGCTCCAACGTGCTGCAGCACCCGTGAGTCGCCCTGCCCTTCTCTGCCCAACCCCGGCCCTCCTGGTCAGTGTCTGGAGTTAGTCCCCTCCTCCGTCACCAACTCATTCATTCGGTCAGCAGGTGGTTGTTGAGCACATCTGGTGTGCTGGGCCTTGTGGCCAGAGGAGGGTATGGCAGGACCCAAGGCAGACATGTCCTCTGTCCTTAGGTAACTTGCAGTGTGCTGGAGATGTGAGGAGGCCAGGCAGTAAATTCACAGACTCGTTGACTTTCTCATTTGCTGACTGTTCTTTATCCAGCTCGTTGACCAATATGCTCTTGCATTCATTCATTGCTTCTCTCCTTCTGTCCCTTGCTCACTCATCCATTCAATCATTAGGTCACCTCCTTTCCAGCAGGCATTTACCTCTACCGAAGCCATAACCAGCCTGGTGCTATGTATTGGACAGAGGAGCTTAGACTTTGACCTACAGGCAGAGGGGGACTGGGGGGGTTTTGAACAGTGAAGGAACCCATTCCATCTGTCTGGTCAGAGGATATGTGCTGTGTTAGCCCTGACCGTGGTTATGGTGAGCCCTGGCCAGGGAAGCAGAGCCACAGGGAGGAAATGACTGAGACAAGGTCCTTGAGGAGTTCACAGTCTGATGGGGGTGACAGCCGTACACAAGTCGTTAGGATGATGGGCCGAAAGAAGCCCAGCTGCAGGACGGCCCTGCAGAGGCAGAAGTCACCTGCTCAGGAGCCCTGAGGTGCTGGGCCGGCCTCCCCTCAGCCTGGCTCGTCCTTCATGGTGCCTTTACCGCAGTACTTTTCACCCACGTTACCCTAATTTTCCTGCCTGCTTTCCCCCAGTAGACCGGAAGCTCCTTGAGGCTGGGCCCACCTGAATCTTATCTGAGCCGTGGGCCGAGCAACAAGGTGTGGCAGAGAAGAGGCCCCCAGACAGATTTGTAGGGGTAGGCCCACCAAGAAGCAGAGATGCAAAGGAAGGCCACAGAAGCCAAGCTTCCTGACGTTGGCTGTCAGTGCTAGTTAGGGACCCTCCCAGGCTCTGTCCAGGTGGTCCAGGAAAGGGGATGAAGATTGCCAAATGGGTTCAAAGGGGGCTCGGCTTAGCCATAGCCTCTGAGGGGAGCGAGGAGTAGAAAGATAGAATATAGCTAAGGGGCACCTGGGGGGCTCAGTCAGTTGAGTGTCTGACTCTTGATTTTGGCTCAGGTCATGATCTCAGTGGGGTCATGGGATGGAACCCAGCATTGGACTCCACGCAGACCGTGGAGTGTGCTTAAGATGCTCTTTCTCTCTGCCCCTCTCCCCTGCTTATGTGTGTGCGCGCTCTCTCTCTCTCTCCCCCCGCCCAATAAAAAAATAAAAATAAAAAATGAGAAAAATAAGAATATAGCTGAACATGAGGGAGGCACCTGTCTGTAGCTCACCGTGGTCCACAGAGAAGACCCAGGCTCCTGCACATGGCTTCCCAGCCGCTACACTGGGTCCTGCCAGCCTTTTCTGCCTCATCTCTTACCATGCCTCCACTCATACTCTGCCTTAGCCAGACCAAACTGCTTCAGATCCTCAAATTCTATATGCATGTGTGTATCCAGGGTTTTGCACATGATGCTTGTTTTGCCTGGAACACCCTTTCCAATTCTTTTCCTGATTAATTCCTATGCATTCCTTAGCACTTTGCTTTCCTCCAGGAACACTTTCCTCACCATCCAGGATGGGTTTGGCGCCCCTCCCCTGTGTTCCCACAACCCCATAATATCATGATCATTGCACCTAACGCTCTGCTGTGTTTGCTTAGTTACTTGGCTGTTATTCCAAGAGTAAAGCTCCCGGTCGTCAGGGTCCTTGCCTGTCAAGTACTCAGCCATCTCACTCGCAGAGTGCCTGGCTTATAATAGGGCCACAGTAAATTTTTGTGGTTCGTGTCTAGTCGTTTTATAAGGTAAAATTTACATATAGTGAAATACATAGCTCTTAAAGTGTATAATTCTTTGAGTTTTGATAGTCATATATACCCACGTAGCCCACATCGAATCAAGATGTAGAACATTTACAGCCTCTGAAAATTTCCTCCTAGCTTTTGCCAATGACCGCCCCCTCACCACCACCACCCAGACAACTATTTTTCTACATTCCTTCAAAACTAACCATAAGCGGGGTGCCTGAGTAGCTCAGTTGGTTGAGCATCTGACTCATGATTTCTGCTCAAGTCATGATCCCAGAGTCGTGGGATCAAGCCCCACATCGGGCTCCATGCTGAGCATGGAGCCTGCTTAAGATTCTCTCTCTCGGGGCATCTGAATAGCTCAGTTGGTTGAGCATCTGACTTTGGCTCAGGTCATGATCTCACGGCTCACGGGTTCGAATCCCCCATCGGGCTCACTGCTGTCAGCACAGAGCCCGCTTTGGATCTTCTGCCCTCCTCTTTCTCTGTCCCTTCTCTGCTTGCACTCTCTCTTTCAAAAGTAAATAAATCTCAAAAAAAAGATTCTCTCTCTCTCTCAGGGTGCCTGGATGGCTCAGTTGGTTAAGTGTCCCAACTCATGATTTTGGCTCAGGTCATGATCTCACGATTCGTGAGATCAGGCCCCACATGCTTGGGATTCTTTCTCTGCCCCTCCCCTGCACACACTTTCTCTCTCAAAATAAAAATAAACATTTAAAAAAAAGATTCTCTCTCTCCCTCTGTCCTTCTCCCTCACTCATGCGTGTACACGTGCTCGTGTTCTCTCTCAAAAAAAAATTTTTTTTTTTTTTAATAAATAAACTAACCACAGGTTAGTTTTGGCTGTTCTACAAGTTCATGTAAATGAAATCTTGGGTTCAGTTTCTTTTTCATTCAGCACATCCCTGTGAGTTTCATCTGTGTTATTAGGTATAATGTGATAGCTGGTTTTTCTTTTTTGTTGTCTTGTTTTTAAGTTTTATTTTTTTATTTTGGGGGTGGGGCAGAGAGAGAGGGAGACGCAGAATCTGAAGCAGGCTCAGACGCAGGGCTCAAACCCACAAGCCGTGAGATCATGACCTGAGCTGAAGTCAGACGTTTAATCAGCTGAGCCACCCAGGTGCCCCTCTTTTTGTTTTTTTGTTTTGTTTTGGTTTGGTTTTTTTTTGAGAGAGAGTACCATGCAAGCAGGGAAGGGACATAGGGAGAGGGAGAGAGAGCATCTCAAGCAGGCTCCATACCTAGCACGGAGCCTGATGCGGGGCTGGCTCTCACAACCCTGAGATCCTGACCTGAACTGAAATCAAGAGTCAGACACTTAACTAATTGAGCCACCCAGGTGCCCTGATAACTGGTTTTTAAGTGAATGAATCAACAGGGTAGGAATGAGATAGAGTTTTTTGTAGACAGCAATTCTCTGTCCTCTGGCCCAGGACCCCGGGAGTCCCTGTGATATCTGGCAGAACACTGGAAGAATTGGAAGATCCCACCATCTCAATCACATGCTTATTGAAGTCCCTCTGTGCCAGGCCTTGTGCCATGCTCTGAGGTTGTAGAGATGAATTGGATACCATCTCTTCCGTCAAAGGTTCCCAGATTAGTGAGGAATACAGGGAAATACATAAGTGATAAAACACTGGGGAAAGTGGACCAGTAGCAGGAGATTCAGGGAGCAGTTGAAGAATGCTGAACTCTGCGGGGAGTTTGAGGAAGGCTTTCTGGAGGATCCTGAGTTTGGAAAGAGCTCGCCAGAAGGATACGGCATCAGGAAGTGCAGTTCAGTCGGAGGGAGAGACTTGCGCAGAGACATGAAACAGTAAGCTGTGCTGGAGGAATTAGAGACAGTTCTGAATGGCTTGTGCCTGGGCTGTGCAGTGGGAGTCACGGAAGGGCCTCAGCGGCAACACCACATCCTTGGGGACTTGACTCCGAGAGCACTGAAAACACTTAAGGGGGTTCAAGTAGAGAATAGGCTCAGCTTGGTGTTTTACAAAGACCACTCGGGCAGCTGTGTAGTAGACCAGCTGGAGGCTAGAGGTTAAGAGCAGGTGAGGAAAATGCACCCGAAGAGGGAAAAGGGTTTTCTGGACAGTCTCTCAGACATGAATGACAACCCTAGACCCTCTGCCTCCCAGTGCAGTGAATGTCTCATGACTGTTACCCCATTTTACAGAGGAAGCAGCTGAGACCCAGAAAAGGAAAGTCACTGTGTCTAAATGATAGAAATGGGAGTCGGGGGCCCTGGTGATCACGCCAGGCCCAGGCTTCTGGTGCCCCCTTTTGTGGGTGAGCTGGGCATAAGGGGCACTGTTGGGCTGTGCCTCCAGGTGGACGGAAGAATGCATGTGGCCGCAGGGCGTGCTGGTGAAACACAGCAAGAACGTCTACAAGGCAGTGGGCCACTACAACGTGGCTATCCCCTCTGACGTCTCCCACTTCCGCTTCCACGTGAGTCTCCTCCCCTGGGAAGGAGGGGTGGGGCCTGATCTGGAGAGCAGGAGGATCCCGGACGGGAAGGTGATGTCCTAGCAAGAGACAGCTATTTTCAGCATTTCCCAAATCCAGCGGAAACTACACACTGTGCAGCACAAGGACAGCCATACCAGTGGTGACTTCATAAGTGCAGCTCACTTGGTGGCTGATCCTTGAAAACATCGGGTGGAGGCGGGGAGGATGATACAATAAAAGAAGAGGTTCTCAGTGGCGAAAATAAGAACTATCCCCATTCCATATGGTGCGCCAGGCACAAGTGGTAAGCAGTTGCCGTGCAGCCTCCGTGCAGTCTTCGCCTGTGTGTGAGAGAAACACCACGGCTCTCCCCATTTTCCGAGACTGAAATTGGCTCAGAGGGTCTAACTCGTTCAAGGGTGCCTTGCTCGGAAACTTGGGATCTGATGGTCATGACTCCTGGACTCAGCATTATGGAAAGGGTTGCTCAAAATCATTGAGGCTAGTGGTCTCCATTTTATTTACTTATTTTACTCTCAAAAGCCTTTTTTCCAACACAGTCATAGACTGAAGTCTGGTATATAGGACCTCCTGGCACTACTCTATTTGAAAGAGTTGGAACTCCCTTCAGTTCCCACTCACCACTGCTATAGCCCCTAAAAGACCTCCTCAGAACCCAGGGTTCCAAGGAACACAGTTTGAGGAATCATTGATCTGGGTCATCTCTTCGCGGTAGAGAAGCCCGAGGCCCCGACAGGAAAGGGACTTGCCCAAGGTCCTGTAGCCTGTCAGGTTCAGAACTGAGCCTGGCATGCTGGTTTCTTGGACTCCCATTTCCTGCCACTTCTCTTCCCATCCTTTAAGTAGCTCTTGAGGTCAGGTACCTTGGTCCCTGCAGAATTGAAATTCCCTAAGACGTTGATTGCACTTTGGAACGGATGAGAACATTTTTCTCGAGTCCCCACACTCTGTCTTCCTTTGTAAATACCAGGTCAGAGTGAGGTGTCGCCACATGCCCTAGAAGCTTCTGGCCTAGATCGGGATGCTACCCATGAAGAAGTGGGTTTCTCAGACTGTAGAGTCTATGATGACTTTCCATGCCTGTGTCGTAAGATTCTAATTTGTTCAGGCCTGACTATACCCAGGAGGATCACATATAAAAAGGTGTCGATTATAGACCAGAAAAGGTTTGAGGGAGTGAAACCTCTCAAGAAAAGCTTCCCGGAAAAGAAACACCACAGGCAGAGGTGGAGAGGTGGCAAAGTCCGTGCCCAACCTCACAGTCCTCCTCTCCATCCAAGTCTGCATGGGGCCCCCAGAGCTTGTCCCCTTCCCTGGCCCACCCCAAACCCCCATCCGGGAGGCAGGTTTCTCGAACAAACTTTCCAGTCCCTGCCTACCCTTTCCTGGGCAGTTCTTTTTCAGCAAACCCCTGCGGATCCTCAACATCCTTCTGCTGCTGGAGGGTGCTGTCATTGTCTACCAGCTGTACTCCTTAATGTCCTCTGAAAAGTGGCACCAGACGATCTCCCTGGCGCTCATCCTCTTCAGCAACTACTATGCCTTCTTCAAGCTGCTGCGGGACCGCTTGGTATTGGGCAAGGCCTACTCGTACTCGGCCAGCCCCCAGAGGGACCTGGACCACCGGTTCTCCTAAGCCCCAGGGTGACCCCAGGGACAGCATCCAGGCTTCAGCCAGGAGCTCTCTGGGAAGGGGCTGTTGGGGAGGGTTGGGTGAGGGAGCAAAAAAACACAAAAACAGACAAAAAAAATTGACCAGAGCTTTGTATTTTTGTTACATACTGTTTCTTTCTTTGATAATTGATGTGATTATGAGGGGGGAAAAAAGTCCTATTTTTATACTCCCATTAAGCCTGTGTGTCCTGTGTTTCTTTCCCTTCTTGCCTGTCAGGCAGAGAGCAGAGGTTAGGATTCTGGGCCAGGAAGCCCTGTGTGTGGCTTCTGGGGTCCTCATGGGTCCTGCCTTCTCCAATGGAGAGGAAATGAGACACCAGAAGTCATGGTGTTTACCGCTGGCTGAATGCTGTGTATCAGACATTACTCTCATGTGTATTATAAGCCTTGTTTCAATCCAACTTTTATGTCAACCCTAGGAGGTAGGTACTGTCACTCTAATTCTATAGGTGAATAACAAGCTCAGAGGGCTATAGTGACTTGCCGAAGGTAACACAGCAGCCAAAAAACCCTCCCAAAAGACAACACCACTATCCTCTCAAAATGTGATGTCCTGATTCTCTCAGCATGCAGTCACTGAGACCCTGCTCTGTGTCGGGTGCTATGGTAGACAGGACGCCAAGACAGAAACAGGTCACACTACACTGGGATGGGTGTTAACAGTTACAGGACAGCAGCGCAGGAGAGAGCATGTTTAATGCTCTAAGAATTTCTTGAAGGAGGGGACAGTCTGAGTTGTCAGGCACTTTCTAGGTGGGCAAACTGGGGGAAAGGCACTTCAAGCAGAGTAAAGGAGACATGTAATACATGTGAGATTTGGAACATTCTGGTGTATTTGGGGCAGGTAAGCAGAATGGTTCCTAGAGCAGGAAGGATAGGGAACAAGGGGTGGGGGTTGGGGTGGAGCTGGAAAATTTTGCAGGAGATGGATCAGGGTGGACCAATGGTTCTAGGCTAGGGAGGGTGTGTAAGCAAGGTCAAGCGCTAGAGTGGAAACAAAGCTGCTTGGAGGACCACCTGGCTCTTACTGGACAGGCTAGAGGGCTCACACTGGGAAAAAAGGACAGTCATAGCCACTCGTCTACTCTGTTTCCTGAGCCCTTTTTGGCCACAGGATATGCAGATGAGTCTGTGGCGGTGTATGGGAGACAAATATTGCAGCAAAAACTTTTTGGTGTCTGTTGAGGAAGGCATCATACTGGGTAAGCATGAGACAGATAAAAAGGAAGATGTACCTTAGACAACCAGGAGACAGAAACATACCTTGTAAGCAAATCAGAGTGCTGAGTGCTGAGGAAAATGTGTGTCCAGGGCACTGGGGAGCAGAAGATAGGTACCCAGGCTCTGTCTGGAAAAATCGGGTTTTTTAGGGAGGGGAGAGTTGAACTGGATCTTGAAAGTGAATTTGTTCACCCTATGGTCAAGTGGGAAGGGAGGGCATTGCATTCCAAGCAGGGGAAACAGCATATGCAAAGGCACAAAAGATGCATACTTGGGGAAAGGGGTTCCTCAAATATGAATGGAACCTGGGTGGCTTAGTGGAGAAAGCCCAAGAAGTGAATAAGGACCAGCCTGTGTGTCAGATTGAAATGTTTGAGCATTACCTAAGGGCAGACAAGTAACTAAGCAGAGGAACAATCTGACAAATCCTCTGCTTTTTTAAATCTGATTGTTTAATGTTTATTTTGTAAGTACCCATGCCGCATATGCACACACATGTGGGGTAAGGGCAGAGAGAGCGGAAGAGAGAATCCCAAGCAGGCTCTGCGCTGCCAGCCTGGAGCCTGACACAGGGCTCAATCCCACGAACGGCGAGATCGTTACCTGAGCCGAAATCAAGAGTTACAGACTTAACCAGCTGAGCTACACAGGTGCCCCATAAGGTCTCTGCACTTTGGAGATGGTGGGCACAAGTGGGAGAATCTGGACACAAGAGACCAGTGAGGATCTGGCAAAATAGACCAAGAGAAAATGAAGAGATCTGACCTTGAGGAGTGGAAGTAGGAAGAGAAAGATAATGCTCCCTTTCCTGACCCTGAGTTCCGGATTGGCTTTTTGAGTTATTTCCCTTAATGGCCCAGGCACAAGCCAGGCACACATGTAGAAGAGGCAATTCGTTGTGGCAGGACTTGGAAACCCAGGTCCCTCACTCTGCTTCCAAAAGACAGTTCCCTGTGGGCCTAGTAACTTGAAGATGTAGCCTTTCCCTGTTTGTTGAGGTGGGGGACAGGAGGGCTGGCCTGTCATGCAAAACGGGAGGTCTGATGTGTACCAGCCATAAATTCCATGATTCAAAAGGCACGTGAACGCTCAGAGCCTCAATTTCCTCATCTCTAAAAAGGGAGATGATATCCCTCACTTTGTGTAAGTCTCAGGCCTGTTCATTTGTTTGTTTATTCACTAAACTATTTATGGAGCACATACCATGTGCCAGATACTGGGCTAGGCGCTGGAGGAGATACCATGATGAACAGTACAGAACCTACCACTGCCCTCAGCTTGCTGGTGGGGTGGGCGGGGGAGGATGAAATCCCACGGTCAGCTAGAAAGCCCTGCATCTGTCTCCTTATTTTTCCATTTGTCTCCCAATAAAGTCATGATCTGGTTTACTTTTGCTTTCTTAATTTCCTTATCTCCATATCCTTAAGCAAATCTCGTCCCCCTCTCCAGGTGATCCCTTACTCACATCCAGCTCAGGGTCTATGATTGGCTTTAACTACGGAGAGGAAGGAATGTGCTTCTGGGAAAAAAAATTTTTTTTCAAGGAGAGGAGGCTTCATTATACAGAGGAAATAGGAGCAGAAAAAGCTCAGAATTCCTGAACACACTTGACTTTCTTTAGTATCCCTCCTAGTTATCTCCCTCCACCACTCCTTTTATAGTCCATCCCTATTCCCCGCCTTCAGTAGCTGCGGTCTCTTTAAGTGCGCTCCTCCCCGTAAGCTAGGCTGGGGGGCGGAGAGCGCGTTTCTTCCCGGGGTTGAATGTTAAGTTGTTTGTCCGTTTCGGGCTGCCGTCCTGCAGATCCGCCATATTGTCTGCTGAAGCTACTGCTGAAGCTGCCGCTGCTGCCGCCGCCAAGTAGGAGCGAGCGGAGCCGCGATGGGTGAGTAAGGCCACCAGGCAATTGGGGACTCGAGCTGAGACACTCCTGGGGCGTGGGGCCTAGCGGGAGCCTGTCTCCGGTCTGCGGAAAATGTCTGAGACCTCTCCAAATAGGTGTGAGGGGAGAAGCCAGGCCGGGAGAGCAGCTCAGGCCAGTTTGGGGCCGGGCTAGGGCCCCTGCGGGAGCAGTCTTTGGGGGCTGATTCCGGGAGCACCTTGCCACGCCTGGAGCCCCCACGTGGTGGCCTTGGGCCGGAGCCCTCGCGTTCCCAGGGGCTGGAAAGGGGCCGACCCTTCGGCCTGCGCCGAGACCGCGGCTGGGGGGACGGGCGCCCGGCGGCAGGCCCGGGCGGCGCTCAGGGAGCCGTTTCCAGGCGTGTGTTTGACCGACGCGCATCTTGACTAGATTCGGGGCTCCTCTGAACTCGAGGGAAATCCTGCCTACGTCGCGAGTAGAGTCCTCCGGTGAGGGAACGCCAGGCGAGCTAGCTCCAGGCCCGTAACGAGGGGCAGCCATGCCGAAAGCAGCCTGGGCCGCTGCAGGCCGGCAGAACTTCCCGAGCCGCGGGCGGAAATGGGGTGGTTCGGTTGGACTCAGTGACAGCCTGGTAGTAGAAAATCACAGACCGAGACCTCGGGGCCATGTGTGGTAGATCGGGACTTCAGGTTTGTGGGTCTGGCACTGGTTAGGAGAAAAGGAGCGACCTGTTGCTCTCTCTGAAGGGACTCTGGCGGGCAAGGCCTGTGCTCAGGGATAATACGATGGCGAAGTCTTTGGACTTAGCGACAGAACCATCAGTGAAGAGATACTTCCTCTTAAGCGTTAAACTCGATTGATTTTGCTAAACTCTTCCTACGCGCGGGTATTGTTCTGACTGCTTTACATGTTACGTTTTACTTAATATGCACAAGCTAGTGAGCCAGTTACTACTGTTACCCCTGTTTTACAGGTAAGGAAACTGAGGCTTAGAGAGAGGTAAAGTAACTTACCCAAGGTCATACAGTTAGTGGCTATACCCCGGTGATCCAGACCCCTAGGTTATAGCTGCAGTTCTTTATGGCTTGGCCCCCTAGTGGTTGGGCTGGAAAAGGGGGAAGAAAGCTTTTAACCCTGGGCAAAGTTGTAAAGGTGTTTTTGTGTGCTGGTGTGCCCACTTTGAAATCTTTAGTCTGAAGAAACTGAAAAACTACAAAGTAGATTGCTAACTCCAGCAGTTGTGTGTGGAAGGGAGTGCTAAATGAGGTTCTGGGATTTAGTTTTGTAAGATCCCAGATCCTGAAGAAACAAGTTACTCCCTTGAGCAAGGCAATGACTTTTTTTTATTTTTGCAAGGCAGTGACTTTAGAATCAGATCTGGGATTATAATCCTGCCTGCCACTTTCTAGCTCTCATCAGTTAAATATCAGATATTAAGAGAAGTCACTTAAATATCAAATGCAGCAGTGTGCATAGGAAGCATGTAGCACAGTTCACAGTAAATGTTATTTCTCTTCCCTTCTGATCCTTCCTTTCCTCATCTCTAGAAGGAGGGGAGAGAGTGTTACCAAGATGTTTGAAGACTAAATAAGATAACAAGTGTTTAGAAAACAGCCTAGTAAGGGCTCTGCAGGCATCAGAACAGATTCTTTTCTACCTGCAGTAGCATTCCTTTCCCTTAAGCACTCTGGTTTTCAGAATCCAGTGTCAAGCCTGATAGGTTTGTCTAACTGAAGCTTTATGAAGTGAAACATTTGGGGGACTTTTATGTTATAGATTTCTGTCGGCCTTCAATTTTAGAAACACTTCCTTCAAAGGGAAGGAGCTAGTGTTTAGTTTATTAAGCGCAGTGAAATAAGTTTACAGATTGGGAAACTACCTTAGAGAAGATAACACAGCTAGTAAGCAGCAAAGCCAGACATGAGATTCTTACTCATTTTGCTGTACATAAACCTCTTAGAAGAGTTAAGGTGTGAACAAAAATTAGTCCTTTTCTGGTAGACTTTGAAATGAAAGTTATTTTTTTCTTTTTTCTTTTTTTTAATGTT